CAACGATGACTCGGACAATTTTTAATAATTTTTTTTGAATTTTTTATTTATATTTTTCTTTTTTTTTCTTTTCTTTCACTTTCTTTTTTTTTCCTTCCCTTCTTCCTCCTCACTAGTCTCCGACGAAGCTCGCCGCTGCCGGCAAGGACGAGCCTCGACAATAAGTGCGAAACCTCTTTCTCTATCTCCTCAGTCTCCACATTGATAGTGCTGCCCTTGTCTTCTAGATCTTTGGCTATGGTCGATAGAGACTTGTTGACACTCTGCTTCCATTGTAGCTTTGAAGGGATTGAGGATTTGAGCGAAATCTGGGAATTGGCGCACTCACGACTCCTATTTTCTTTGTTGAAATTGTCCGACTCAAGCGATTCAGAGAGCTTTACGAAGATGGAGTTGGCAGAAGACCAAGAGACCTTGACGGCAACGGCAACGGAATCTTTGGATTCTCCTTTGTCGAAGGCAGCGTTGTTCCATATTTGAAGCTCAGGGGTGTAGAATGCATCTGGGTACTCAGGAACACTCAGCTTCTGAGGTAACTTGAACTAGAATGTTTTTTTTAATGTTAGGACAAACAGTTTACCTTAACAACGAAGATACACAAACATGAAAGAGGCTTCTTACTTAGGTTTTTGACTAATCCTTGGTTTATGATTAGTACAACTAGATGAGTTCTGATTTTGAATGATCTAAATGCCCTGATCTAGTCGATCTGGGGTGGGCCAATATTACTTTGTTTGCTAGGCCTATGACATGGAAAAATCGTGATCAGCTCCATATTCTCAAAGATTGAGCTTGTACTATAGATTTAATTATGAAAACGATCCATCCATTACTTTATCCCTTGAACTGATGCAGTTGAGATGAGGGCAAACACGAGTAAAACTAGCAAAACAATCATGACTGCATCGAACACGCTCAAAGGTGCAAATTCAAAGAAAATTCTCTCATAATTACGTCATTAATCAAAAGGATAAATTGAATTACACGAAAATTAGATACCTATTCTACGTTCAACTTGAACTTCCTCTGCCGCCAATCCCTTTTATCAGTAGTTAGATCTCAATCCTTAGTTAGACATGAAATGCTTCCAACAATTTATTAACCCAAGTGACAAAGATCTTCGTGCATGTCATGTTTATTTAGTTGTTTCCTAAAGGCGTAAGTCTTTTCTAGTCGGCCTTGGAAACTCTTTCTTCAGGCCAAAGCTCGGCAGAATTGAATAGAGGGATCAAACGAGCAGTGAAGACCCATTTGGCACAAATTTGACCTTATGTAGCGTGAAAGAAGGCCAGTTGAGATATGAAGGATTTATCATGATGACTAGTTGACCGTGCTTCTAAGTATAATAGACGTTGGTCCATGCAAGAATTTGCTCATTGTCAATGGCAATTGAGCGGATTTTAAGGTGCGCAACAATCCTCTCATTATCGCCTTGATTAATGAGCGCCAAGTCAACTTTCGTTAACTACTAGTTGCATAGCCCGGGCTTTGCGAGTGCACATTACATTTCTACATTGTCACCATTTTATTTATTAGAACCCCATCTCTCTCGCTTGTCGTAATTTGGTGATGAGGATTGGGTTACAAAGAAATGTCCTATTTCATCCAAATTCTAGAGTTTGCACGGAAAGTATTTTAATGGAATTTGTTCACTGAAAGTCCTAAAACTTATCACGAAACTGCAATTAAGTCCTAAAACTCGCAAAAAGTGCAATCAAGTCCTAAAACTTGTCAAGTTGATTCAATCGAATTCTAAAGTTAACACTATCTAACTAGACTAACGAAAAACACTTCCGTGTCTTATTTTATTACTTTTCTTGAGACACGTGGCAATGATGTGGCAACCAATAAGTATCACATCGGAAAAAATAAAAAAAATTAATTAGATAAAAAAAAAAAGCTAAAAGTTCAAAAAATAATATATAAAAAAAACCACACACACAACCAGCGGCTGTGGCCTAGCCCTCGCCGGTGGTCACTACCACAAGCATCGGGAAGGACTAACGAAGATCCCCTAGGCGTTCCCGAAGCCCAGCGAGGGTCTACAGGCCCTAATTTGGGTGAGGAGGACCCTTGCCCTAGATCTGAGCGAGGGTCATCAGCCCTCGCATAGGCCGGCAAGGCCTCACTTGGGGTGGGCAACACAGGGCGAGGCCTTGCCGGCCCAAGCGAGGGCCGACAATCCTCGCTTAGATCAAGGGCGAGGGTCATGCCCTCCCCATTTCAAGGCTTGCAGACCCTCGTTGGAGACCGATGAGACCTCGCCCAGAGCCAGCAAGGGTCGCCAGGCTTTAAGAAGGCCCAGGTGACCTCCACCGGCCCTTGCCGGCGACTTTGGCAATAACTAGGGCTTGGCCACAGCCACTGAGTGTGCGTGGTTTATTTTTAATGTATTTTAAACAAAATTAGTATTAAAAATTAAATTTGACCAAAACAACGTCGTTTATCACCACGTAGGAAAGAAAAAATATCGATTAAACCAACTTAACAAGTTTTGGGACTCGATTGCACTTTTTCTACAAGTTTTGGGATTCCATTGCACTTTCGTGAAGTTATAGGACTTCTAGTACACATATCTTGTATTTTAATTGTGTTATTTTCTGTTTTACAGGCAACTTCTTAGTATTAGGGATTCGGAAAGAGTTTGGTCATCTTGTTATTGGGGCTGGGCTCGAACGTCCTTGACTTTTGCATGAGATTTTCATACTAAATAGTGACACCAAGAAGCTAATCGTCACTGGGACGAAGTCACATTATTATAGGCAGAACAATGCCGACTCATGACGGCATTAACAAGGGTAACTACAATTACAAACTTCCTCAGTTACGCAGGTTCCGATTGCCTTTGGGCCGAACCTCCGAGCGCAGTAACCCTTGCACTGGTCCAAAACGCAGAACAGTTTCAAATCAACCGAATATATGCATGTGTTCGCTGCTCTCACCATCGTCAACTCATTGCCTGCATCCCAAGAGAGAAAAAAGAAAACACTGCACGGGTCAAATTTCAATTCTTTGAGATGATTTATATGTCTATATAATATGTCGAAGACACCATAGTTATATCTCCGCACGAATTATATATATAAGAAAAGAAAAAGCACTTTCATCTGAGTGAATTTGATTTACCAAAGCTTAATAAGAGGAAGAGTACCAGGATGGACATGCTGGAGCTCTTCATCTTGTGGATCTTCTGAATGATACTGTGGATGCTGCAAGTTTTAAGTACGTGCAGGGATACATGCTGGGCAAGTAGGGATTACGAGGTTATATATTCATTCATGTCTCTCTGTATTAGGCATTATATCCGTTAGCCATTCTCAATTTGTACTTTAGGAGAGTATGGGGTGGGCAATTTAGGTAAGCAATATTGAATTATTGGTAATTTCTTATTGGACTGTTATAGCATGCCATTTTGAGCCGTTGTTATTGAGCTACTATGAGTAAGAAAAATATCTGGATTCGCAACTCGATATCGGTCGTGATATATTGCTTATATTTGCAAGAAATTGAAAAAAAATTCCAAAATGAGTTCACAGGTCAGAATAAATGTTGTCATGGTTCTTACTAGTGAAAAAGAAAAGCTCACGAATAATTCAAAGTAGAAAATGGAAAAGTAAATTCAATAAAGAAAGAGAACGTGTTGCTTGAAGTGAATTCAATAAAGAAATAGAGATTAGTGGGGATTCTCAAATTATTCTGGACAGCTCCCCCATATATTTTATGTTAAAATAAGTGCATTGAAAGTCTAAAAACTTTGTCACGAAAGTGCAATTGAATTTTATAACTTTCAAACAATGCAATCACTTGCTTCAGTGAAACAATCCCGACGATTCCCCTCGCAATCGATGAACGCCCAGGAGGTCCAGCGAGTTCTTGAGCAGCAGGCTTGATGCCCTTGCGACCAACGCTTACAGGAGTACCCTCCAGTCCCGCCAGAGTTCCGCAGCAAAGCAGCCCAATCCCAGCGAGCAACCAGTGACCATTGACGACATCTGCAGCAACAGGCCAATCCCGGCGAGCCTCAAAGCCGCCTCCAGTGAACTCCAGGACTACGCCTGTGCCTCGCACACCGTCAGCACTCACTGCGACCACCAACAGCAACCCAGGGACACTAAACATACTTCGCATCTTCTCCAGTCGATCCCAGGCACACTTCCATCACGTTGTCCGACGTCAAAACAGCCCCAACGTGCCAGATTTTCTCCTGCTGGTCTCCAACCCGTGAGCAACATCACCAGAGTCGACCACAATCTCATGCATCACTCGGCCACAATTGAAGACATGTCTTTTTATCGCTTAAATTGATGCAGTTGAAATGAGGATAAACTTTCACCAAAATTTTGATATAAAGACCGTGGACACCTTAATTAACAAATAATCGAGTTAGGTACTGAGAGGGCATTAGTTGAATAACTAGTATAATCAAGCCTCCAACCCTAGATCCGGTTACGTAGGAAGCGGAGTATTCTCTTATACCTCACTCGATTACTAGCCGGCCACAATAAACTTGCGGCAACTTTCCTCATGTAGGATTCTCATAGGGTTATTAGAATTGTAATGTATTTCCGTGTGAGATAAAGGTTTAGGAGAGCATGTGCTGATTGAGGACCGTTTCGGCATTACCTCTAAACCCATCTTCCCCTTGTCGGGAGGGTCGCGACAATCCTAATCAACAAATTATGATGGAATTAAAGAGGAATCTACAATTACAATGCGCATGTTTGCAGAATGCGATGGCCTTCCTGCCAAACCTCATAATGCAACCTAATTTGCCAAACCTCACACAGCATTGATAAGCATGTAATCTACAACAAAAGGAGAGAAATCCACCTTCCCCGTCCTTAACGCTGTAATTTCTCTTGATGGTGAATCAATGCCTTTTCCAGCTTGTAAGCAAGCCTTGGCCTAACATGGTCATTTCGTCTGTTCACCGCACTCGGTTGAACCGGACTCAACCCTCAAAGGGAATCAATCACCCATCTGAGAGACAGGGACATGAGGGTCGTGTTCCGCCATGCTCATTCCACTAAATAAAATCCATTTTCAAGGGGGAGAAATGGAGGAACAAAATGCAAATCAAGGAAAAATGGAACTGGAAAGAAACTGTTCAGCTAAATGTTGTTAAAGTGATCTGTAGTGAGGGGAGGATCGACAAGCTTAAACAACTGAGCAGACGCGAAAACTCCCACTGCCCTTACACTTGTGCTTGCCATGCCACCATATAAATCACCATATCTTACGACCACCACCATTTTGTACTTCTTTTCTAGAATCAGTTCAATCATGCGACCAATGGATGTCGTGGTAGTAACACAAGGAGGTGGACTTCTCATCATGGCTGATAGCGGAGAATTCAACTGCACAAAATGCACATCACATTTAGCACCTGATGAAAGTAGTGTTTGGACAACATGGCTAGGGTGGCAGATCTCTCAAATGGCAGAATTAGACGTCTTTTTCATCTGATCCTCCAAAACCTCCTTATGGGATTCTATGTATGAAAATCATATGCAGAAATCAGACATTTGTTTTCTATGAGTACTTCAAGTCAAACCATGCTTCATACCAGAAAAACTCATTCTTTTGTTAAGCCATGCCAATTATAAGACTAATTCCGTATTATCTAGTAAAGTCACACAAAAGGAGTTTTGCTAAAATGTCAGACACTACTTATGCAAACAGAAGACAAATCTGGAGTCTAAATGTTAACAGGGTGAAAATGCGTCTGAATATGACCAAAAGCAGAGTGATGTCCGCCCCCCCACCCAACGAGCTCTGCGGATAATTAAAAAACGATTTCTTCACGGTAAAGCCTTAAGAAAGTTGGAGCTGAAACAAAAGAGCTTACCTCATTACAATCTTCACAATGCAAGAGCCCTATGCAGCTACCCCAGTCATCTACAATAGGGACTACTGAATCCCTAAAAAACCGCATTGTCACTTTCTTCAGAAGCAAAGTACCTGGTAGTGGCCTAGCTGCTTCAAATGGCATCATGATACTGTCAATAGGTTCGTATAATGATAGCTACACAGAAAAAAAATGGTTTTATGGGACAACTTCAAATTATTGTTCAATTGTGGACAGTGATGCCAATAAGTCAAAATATAAGAAGCCGAGAGAAGAAAACATAAAAATAGACTGTGGCAATTAGCACAAATGTTCAACTAATCAGCTATTTGACTTTCGAATAGCTTATTCCACGTACCTCCCATATCAACAACAATTACGTCTACACCAATGAAGACAAAGAAGACCAGATGGTTAGAGTAGTTTAAAATTAAGTGTTCTTGTAATTAGAGCTAGACATGAGATTGCACGTTTCTGGCAGGTAACTTATCATTGACTGTCATCTATTAATCGAGTCTTTGTAGCATATCGCTTGTACCTTTAATTTGGAGTTCCACAATACATGGCCATCCGTAAAGTTGTTCGTGTAGAAAACTTTTAACAATTTTGTCTAGTCAAGTTTTTAAATTCTTCCCTGTCCAATTTCCTCAATTTTTTTTCTCGAGGTTCAAACTCCATAAAGGTACACTACTAATTTTTTCAGCATGAGACATTGCACCTCTTTCATTACCCCGCCTTCATTCACCCCTGTCATACCCTCAATGCCTTATGCATGCACAACCTCATGTAAGAGGTTTACATTTGCTTGTTTTCTTTTTCCTTTCTCCTACTAAAGTTTGAGAGATTATCTTAGCTTATCTTCTACACATGACCTCTATAGCCACCAACATCTTTGTCATTCCTTCTCTCCGCTTGGAGTGAATCAACATGTATAACCCACAAGGCAGCCTTAACTTTTGCTTTCTTATATAGTTCTTCCACAATTCCATATGTATGTCTTGCAATGTTTTTTAGCAAGTTCCAGACAAATTAATAATTTCGAGCAAGGCCTACTTTTAGCAACCCAAGTAGTACGGTGAATTACTTTTTCCTATCAATTTTCTCTTTTCTACAGTTTCATTTAAGGTACCGGTCTTTCTTACCTTCCTAACTTTATTAAACCCACATTATCTTCCTTTCCTTCATTCCTCATCTTGAAAGAAATTCACTAATCAATATTCACACACTGTCTTTGAATATAAGCTTCTTGAAATGCTTTCACCCCGCTGTTCTTCAGCAAATCGTTCATAAAGTGCTCATATGGAAAAGAAGTGCCAATTTTCATGCTAGTATAGGTGGTGAAATAGAATGTACTCAATACCCGAGGAAGTAAGTGAGGACTGAACAAGGAGTTTGCAGTTCCCAACAAAGCCTCTATGTGCATAGCGACCTGCAATTTAGAAGGCAGTCCACTTAGAAAAAGATTAAGCAAAGGAGAAGCTGGACTGGATAACAAACAAGTTTGAGAAAGCAAACGACAGACCGATTAAATAAGACCAAAAGATAAATGATGTCATCCTGAGCCAACTTTGAAAAGTGTCTCCAAGGACAGTTCAATTCAAATTTAAGGTGTTAATAGGTATGATTCCACAGTTTCTTTGCTGATTAGATTTTGGATTTTAAGCACCAACAAGAGACCAATTGACAGCATTCCAATCATGGAAGGTAGGATTCCAAAACTTATATTCTCTGCTGATTAGATTTTAGATACTAAACACCGAGAGGAGACCAAGTTACAGCATTCCAAACGTATGTATACCAGATCAAGCTAAATGAAGAAGAAAACTGGATTAAAAAAAAAAGGGCTGCGCTTTTCCACTCCTCATTTGGCTTAGACACTCATTTTCTTTGTGTTTTGACCATATTATCCCTTGTATGGCCCACCACTTCTCTTATAACTCTACAAAACTGATCCCTTTTTATTTTGTTTCTTCTTTTTTTTTCTTGCAGGTCTCACTTTCCTTCTTCTTTCTTTTCACACCTAAATCGTCTCTCTGTTTTCCTACCATTCTCTTCTTCCTACACCTCCATGTGATGCCAACCCCGTTGTCCTCCACGCTTTCCCTGCCAACCCTCACCGTACAATTTCAACCCCCTGAAGGCAATGGGGATTGGAGAGGCCACAGCAGTGCTTCCTCTGCATCTTGTGAGAACGCACAAAACCCCTATCCACACTAAAGGGAAATGGACGCTCCCCTCGCCGACTATGCCCATTCATGTAACTTCTCAGCTGCATTTGCCGAGAGGATTTTCAGGCCTTTCCTTGAAAACCCACATGTAAATGTTTTCTATGTCGTGCTAAACCAAAAAAGCATTGAGCGGCAAGTCTGATTTCTCAAAGCCAGACACACCATTACGGTCCTGAACTATTTTGGAGTTTGATTTTTCATTCAAAATAGGCCTAAAGTAGAAACTAAAGAAAAACCAGGCGATCCACGCACTATCAAGGCGCTTGTTACTCTTATGCCCCACTTTAGGATATTAACATTCATCTCTATTTGGTAAAGTTGGGGTCCTAAACAACATTTAAAATATCACAAGGGTCGTTCCAAAGCAGAGAAGGTGGCCTAGGCCTTGATGACAAAGGGAGATTGATATCAGGTGGTCCTCTAGCAGCTAGGGCACGCATCATGGAAAGATATAGGTGGGACTTTGGTTTCAAGTCTGAATTCAGACCAGCCCGTTTTATTATCTCTCCAAAAGCACAAAGAGCACCTAAGCATATAAGAAATGCAAGAAAAAGAAGCTCAGTGGACCCTCTTTGTGGTAGCTGATTCAAATACCTCCATCTAGTTTACTAGAGGCAGCAGCTAGATAGACAAGTCCTCAAACAAATGACAAGTTGACCCAATCATAACTTCAACTTCTATAACTTCTATGCAAATACTAAGTAAAACAGCATATGCGCGCAGATACACATCAAATCCAACACAACCTTCTAATTGATCTCGAATGAACTTTCAATTATTACCATTGATCATTCCATCAATAAATACTTACCATTTATCATTACTATAAACATCTTTCACATGCACGTACCTTTGATCGATCCACAATTCAGCAATGCATCAACTATTGCTGTGTATGCAGTCTGATCCAAAACAAGATCATAACGTGATTTCATTTCAAACACAATCTTCTGAACTGAAACTAAATCCATGGAGTGCCTAAAACCCTGTAAAGAAAAGCTTGAATGTCAGATAAATCAATAAATATTGAACAAGCAAGAAACATGCTGCAACAACCATTAGAATCTATATTATGTTTCAGCTTCATATGGCAAGAAAATGGATCAACTAACTGCATCCTAGTCTCACTGGTCCTACTCTCCAACATTTATGCTCAGGATCCTTCATTGGTGTCGGAATGAAACTTTAAAGATGTGTCAGGCCCGTAATAAGAACCAATAAAGATCATGATGAAAACACCATTTTTTTTCTACTGCAAGTAATCAGGTTATCAATTTTCATTGAAATTCTTATCACTGGAAAAGGTTTTCCACAAATACATGGAATTAGAACACCAACTTAAAAACAGTTGAAAAAACTACATTATTCTGTAGCAGCATGGTGTACAGAAAAAAACTCGGTCGGTTTGCTTGTTTTAATTAAGTCCTGGTGTAGACTAGACATGGTAACCCATAAAGCGAAGAGAGGTCTGAAATTAGAAATCCAATGATGAGCACTGGGATAGGCTACTGAGTTAAATTTTAAGAAGTGAGACCTCTCAATTACAACCAACATTATAAGTTCTAAGTAGAATACACTCACGGTTTTCTGAAAATGAAGACAATGATTAAGAGACCATTTTGACAATTTTATGTGATATGCTAATTGCGATTTTTCAAAGAAGAAAAATGGTTTCTTCCATTTCTTATTTTTTATCATACTTACATAACACTTAAATAGGGCCTACAATAACTAGAAAATAGCAAGAAATAAAAAACAGATTTCCTACTTCTTAATTCTAGCGATTTACTTCCTAATCCTAAGGATTCAGGAATAAAAATAAATGGAAACAAAATATTCCTATCTCGGGATTTTCTCCGAGATCTTCGAGATTTTCTTCTAATTCTTCAACACCCCCTCTCAAGTTGGTGCGTAAATGTCTATCATGCCCAACTTGCTGATGAGAGACTCAAAGTTAGGTCTGAACAATCCCTTTGTAAGAATGTCAGCTATTTGTTGTGTTGTTGGCACAAATGGCATACAAATTGCTCCTGCATCAATCTTCTCTTTGATAAAGTGTCGGTCAATCTCAACATGCTTGGTTCTATCATGTTGCACTGGATTATGTGCAATGTTAATTGCAGCCTTGTTGTCACAGTACAACTTCATGGGCATTTTCACTGATACTTTAAGTTCTTCTAGTACTCGTGTTAGCCACAACATCTCACAAACACCGTGGGCCATTGCTCGGTATTCCGCTTCTGCACTGCTTCGCGCCACAACATTCTGCTTCTTACTTCGCCAAGTAACCAAGTTCCCCATACGTATGTACAATATCCCGAAGTCGACCTTTCGTCGCAATTGACCCCGCCCCTCGCATCCGTGTATGCTTCAATCTCCCGTTGAGTAGATTTTTTGAATAGCAGACCTTTTCCGGGTGTGCTCTTTAGGTATCTTAGGATCCTGTACATAGCCTCAAGATGTTTTTCATATGGAGAGTGCATAAATTGGCTTACCATACTCACAGCAAAGGCAATATCTGGCCGAGTATGTGACAAATAGATCAGTTTCCCTACTAGCTTCTGGTATCTCGATGTATCAACAGGAACCTCATCTTTGTCATCTCCAAGTTTCTGATTGGGATCTATAGGAGTTTCTGCCGGTCTACAACCACTCATTCCGGTTTCCTTTAGAAGATCTAGGACATATTTCCTTTGTGAGACTACAATTCCCTTTTTCGATCGAGCTACCTCCATTCCAAGGAAATACCTTAGAGTTCCCAAATCCTTGATCTCAAACTCAGAAGCGAGACATTCTTTCAACCTGTTCATCTCAACAATATCATTCCCAGTGAGAATGATGTCGTCCACATACACTATCAAAGTTGCAACCTTCCCGTCACAAGAATGCTTTACAAACATGGTATGATCAGCTTGTCCTTGAACATACCCTTGTTTCTTCACAAAATGAGTGAACTTCTCAAACCAGGCCCTCGGTGACTGTTTCAGTCCATATAATGACTTCTTCAATCTACATACCTTTGATCCAGAACTTCTATCAAAGCCCGGGGGAAAATCCATGTATACTTCTTCCTCCAAATCTCCATTCAAAAAAGCATTCTTCACATCTAGTTGTTGCAGGGGCCAGTCAAGATTGGCTGCAAGTGACAGGAGCACTCTTACAGTGTTTAGTTTTGCAACTGGAGCAAAGGTTTCAAAGTAATCGATCCCATAGGTCTGGGTGTATCCTTTTGCGACCAACCGAGCTTTATACCTTTCGAGAGATCCATCGGACCTATGCTTGGTTGTAAATACCCACTTGCATCCAACTGTGGTCTTTCCCTCAGGTAGATCCACTATATCCCACGTTCCATTTTTTTCTAGAGCTTTCATCTCCTCAAGAATTGCTTCCTTCCACTCAGGAACTTGTAGAGCATCCTGCACAGTTTTCGGAATCTCCACACAAGACAATGTTGAGGTAAAGGCACGGAAATTGGGTGAGAGGTTTTTGTAAGACACATAATGAGACATAGGATGTTTGGTACAAGACCTAACTCCTTTTTGGATAGCAATAGGTATGTCAAGTTCATCAGGTCGGACAGATTGAGTTGGAACATTACCTGGTGACTCTATGGAGTTCTGGTCATGCCCCGGTTCGGACTCATGGCACCTTAAGGGAGCAGGGTTATCTTCACAAGTAGGATGCGATGACAATATATGTGGACCCGAATTTTCATTATTTAAAACACTTGGTTCAAAATCTGGTATAAGGGTTGCGGGAATATGATTTTTAGGAAGAGGTTTTTCAGGTTCTAGACAAAAAAAATCTATGATGGAGTTGTGCGAATCTGCACTTTCTTTCCCCCTCTGAAGATGAGCTCCAAAAAAAGGTGTTGATTCAAAAAAAGTGACATCCATGGTGATAAACATTTTTTTGGAAATCGGGTCAAAGCATTTATACCCTTTTTGATTAGGTGCATAACCAACAAACACACATCGTTTTGCTCTAGGATCAAGTTTCCCCCGATTTCTATCATGGATGTGGACAAATGAGGTACAACCGAATAGTTTTAAGGGTAAGGCTGAAGCAAGTCTAGAAGTTGGGTAGGTCTCCTGAAGAACTCTTAGGGGTGTTTGAAATCCTAACACTTTAGAAGGCATCCTATTGATGAGATATGTAGATGTAAGAAGAGCTTCACCCCAGAGATATGTGGGAACTTTAGTTGTGAAGAGTAAAGCTCTAGTTACTTCTAAAAGGTGTTTATTCTTCCTCTCTGCCACCCCATTTTGTTGAGGGGTGTCAGGGCAAGAACTTTGATGCACAATCCCCTTTTCCAAGAAAAACTGTCCCAAATTTTTATTGAAATATTCTTTCCCATTGTCACTTCTAAAAATTTGGATTTGTCCTTGGAATTGTGTTTGTACCATGGTGTAAAAATTTTTGAAAACAGTCTCTACTTCGGATTTCTCTTTTAACAAGTATACCCAACTCACCCTTGTATGATCGTCAATAAATGTGACAAACCATTTCTTTCCTGAGAATGTAGGAATTCTAGATGGGCCCCAAACATCACTACGAATTAAGGAGAATGGTTTCGATGGCTTGTAGATTTATGAGGGAAAATTGGTTCGATGATGTTTGGCTAATTCACAGAATTCACACTGAAATGAAGATGGACTTTTATTCAAAAATAACTTTGGGAAGAAGAACTTTAAATATTGAAAATTCAGATGACCTACATTATAATGCCATAACATAATGTCATCATCCTTACTAAGAGTAACAGATTCAAAACAACTACCCTGGACTTGTCTACTTGAGCTTGTTCCATCTTCAAAGAAATAGAGTCCTCCACTCTCTCTAGCATTGCCAATCGTCCTCCCCGAGGTCAAGTCCTGAAACTCACAATGAGATGAGAAAAAGTTAGCTTGATACTTTTGATCGAAGGTTATTTTACTAATGGACAGCAAGTTACAAGATAGCTTTGGGACATGAAGAACTTTATGAAGTGTGAGGGCTGGTGAGAGCTTGATACATTCTGTTCCAGCTATGGCTGAAAGAGAACCATCTGCAATTGTGATTTTTTTATTTCCTACACACGGACTATAGGTGGAAAAGAGTTTTGAACAACCTGTCATATGATCGGTTGCTCCTGAATCGAGAATCCATGGAGCAATTTGGTGTGGATTTTCTATGAGGAAAGCAGTGGAAAAATAATTACCTTTCTGGGCTAAAGAACAAGATGGATTTGAAGAAGGTTGTGGAGATTGAAGGATTTTGTATAGGTGCTCTAACTGTTCCTTTGTGAATGGAACCAAATCAGACTTGATTTGCTCTTCATTTGTTGCTTGGAACGCACGACCATCGTTACTGCTCCTTCTCTTCCAACCTTCTTTCTTCCAATTCTGTGGTTTCCCGTGAATTTTCCAGCAAGTCTCTTTGGTATGCCATGGTTTCTTGCAATGTTCACACCATGGTTTCTTCCTCCTGTCTTCCTCAGAATCAGGCCCCCGAGATACAAGAGCAGAATTTTCGGATATAGAGCTGACACTTGTTTCCGAATCATGTAGCATGATTCGCCTCCGAGATTCCTCCCTTCTAACTTCAGAGAAAACCTCGCGGATGGATGGTAGAGGTTTTCGACCAAGGATCCTGCCTCTCACCTCATCCAGGCTTCGATTAAGGCCTGCGAGAAACATGTATACTCTATCATTCTCTTCTCTCTTCATTTGTCTCTGACAATCATCTGGACTTTCCCATGTATCATCATAGCATTGATCTAATTCCTGCCACAAGGTCACCATTTCATTGTAGTAAATAGTGACCTCACGATCCCCTTGCTTCAATTGCCGTAGCTTTGTCTTGAGTTCAAAGATCTGGGAAGAATTTTCCAAATCAGAATATGTTTCTCTCACAACGTCCCACTCATCTTTAGCGGTCGGAAGGAATAGGTGAGGTTTTCCAATTGTTGGCTCCATAGAATTGATCAACCAGGCAATCACTAAGGAGTTCTCAGATCTCCAAATCTTCCAAGACGGATTGCTTTTTTCTGGTTCATTCACCTCACCTGTTAAGTGGCCGAGCTTCCCTCTGCCATCAATTGCTAGTTTCACCGATTGAGCCCACTCCAAATAATTTTGGCCATTCAATCGGTGAACTGTCAATAGCAGGTTGGAGTTCTGGGAGAATTGCTCTCCACCATTGCTCGATTGTGCAAAGAGATCAGCTGGGTTGTTCTCTAGCATGACACCTAAAGGAGTGGTGTTCCTACTAGCTCCGGTCATCGCCGTTTTCACCATAGTAAGAGCCGGATTTAAAACCAAGCTCTGATACCATGCGATTTTTCAAAGATGAAAAATGGTTTCTTCCATTTCTTATTTTTTATCATACTTACATAACACTTAAATAGGGCCTACAATAACTAGAAAATAGCAAGAAATAAAAAACAGATTTCCTACTTCTTAATTCTAGCGATTTACTTCCTAATCCTAAGGATTCAGGAATAAAAATAAATGGAAACAAAATATTCCTATCTCGGGATTTTCTCCGAGATCTTCGAGATTTTCTTCTAATTCTTCAACACTAATATACATTTTACACCTGTTTTTTGACAACTTAAGCTTTTGGGACAAATGGTCATCTAACATGGTATAAGAACTGTACCCTTGCTGGAGGACTCACTGCAAGCATGGTGTGTTCTTCAGTGTTTTTTAAACCGTACTGGTGAGGGAACAGGTTGAGCAACTTGTATATGGTTCAACCAGTTGAAACTCCACTTTGACCGCTTAGTTTATTTATGGTAGATAACATGTATTGAGTTCGTGAAAAAGTAGTCTAATGCATGCATCCCAAGCCTTCAATTGGCATCCCCTTTATGGTTCCAATATTCCTTTAGGTGCTTTCCATTGCATGTTTTACTATAATAAAACTGGCTCAAACATTGACAGCCAAGAGCAATAAGCTTTTTGTTTTTCCTTTATGGTACCATCATTTTTTTCAAAATGCAGAAGCATAATACCAAAACCAACGATTATATGTCATAAAAAAAGTTCAGATCATTCAAGCCTTTGACTTCGATTATAGAAATTATAACATACCCAAAGTTTGCAACAATCCAGCCAAATGGGTTTTTCCATCTAGATTGTTGGTCGATTTGTTTTTTCACTTATATCAGGTTTACTGAGCAATTACACTACAGACTATATCTTGAGGATGCTCTGCTCCTTTCACAGTATCAAGTCCCTTTAAGCCAAGTGAATTACTTTACTAGAAGCTCTTAGATTGTAGATTAGAAATTCCTATTGTGACAGTGAGAACTGTTCTGTGGTGGGTTGGCTTCAACTACAAAAGAAAAGAGTGTCAAAATGAAAGTATGACGACAGAACTCAACATGTCACTAAAAAAAGAGAAATTAATCAGATCAGCAGCTGTTTAGCTCCTGGGAATATAAGGATCTTTCCAAACTAAAAAATTCTTTCAGCTATGTTATTGATTTTGCTTACTAAAATTTATGTCGATTTTGGAAATAGGCAAATAGGAGAAGCGATAAAGCTCTTACAAAAGAAGAAAATTTTCAAACTGAGACGTGGACTGGGTTAGTCTGTAGAGGCAATCCTTCTCTGCACATATGACACCAACACGCCGACACGTCATTTCTCAAAAAATAGAGAATTTTGACAAATTAGGACACGTTGTATGTTAATGTATATATTTATATATACATAATAAATTATCATTTTTATGATTACTTCAATCAAATTAATTTGATTCGAATCCACAAATAAATAAATTATAAAAAGAAAGCCTAGAATGAATTTATACTAAAACCATTAATCCACCATTTGTTAATATCATTCATTGTTTCAAATTTACACTAAAAACATTAATCCACCATTTGTTAATATCATTCATTTTTTGGGGCTGGCTGGGTATATTAATTTTGGGATGGCTGGGTATACGACTTAAGTACATATATTTATTGATAGATTTCATTTTGACCCCTAATTTATTGAAAATGTTTAAAATTGACCCCGTGCATGTCGGGATGCTGGACTTCCATGTCGCTGGCTTGTCCGAAGCGTTGACCACATGTCAAATGTCTAAAACCTGTTGACCAAGAGTTGGATGCGTGTCGATGTCCGACACGCGTCTGACATTGACACGGAGGCCCCCCGGAAAGTGTCCGTGCTTCCTAGGTCCCAAGCCCAACTACCTCAAAATATATAAAGATTTGATTTGCTGCAGCAACTTTGCTGGGAGCTCTTCCCTCCCTTCTCTTTATTTTAAGTCGCAATAATAGCTTCAAAAGCTGCTTGTGTTTTCTTGTGGTACCTGCCATCGTAGTCAGTCACTCCTCTGTATGTGTTCTCTCCACATTCTCCTTCCCTTTTGCTAATGGAAATCAGTCTTGCTTTCCAGTTCTCCTTCTCTGACTAAATTACGGTTTCTTACGCAAAAATAAAGATAAACAAAACTAACCTTGAGCAAAGTGGTGTAAGTTACTGCATAAGGGAGAACCACCTGGTAGCCATTCGACTCTCCTTTTTCCTGGAAATAAGTAAACTTGAGAAATGGGAGGGAAAAAATAAGTTATTCAAGCTAAAGTATAGTAACCAATTATCTAACATTGTCAAAATATCAAGATTCAGATTTCAATCTATCACTAAAGTAAATGTTCTAGACCTTCATTTCCTCGAAAAAACACATAGCTGCATCAAGATTTCCTGCTTTTATGCATGCGAAGATTAGAGTATTATAGGTTAGTCTATCAGGATCCAATCCTTGGTGTGACATCTCCTCGTGGACATTTAAAGCTTCTTGGGGCAAACCTGAGTTTAGGTATCCCTGGCATATTCAGAAAGCAGAGTCTTCAATCAACATTCTCTTCCGGTATTAGTTACAATTTGCTATAAGAACAAGAAAACATGCATACTCAAGGAAAAATGTAGAAGCTTCAAATCACAATCATCTAAAAAGATGGGGCAGGCGTACCTTCATCAATAAGTTGCACATTAGAATTGAAGGTCTGCCACCCTTGTGTAAGACATAGCCATATCGAGCAAGAAGACCATTAGCACGGCGTAGATCTCCTGCACTAAAACAGTGCAAGCGCAACATTGGAAAGGACACTGAAGCTCGTAATGATAAATAAATGAAATAATCTGCCTCCGTTAATGAGGAAAACGGTGCTTTATCTAGCATATTTATGAGTGATTCAAGCAGACATATTCACACAATCTACATGGTTGTCACTCAAAACCACAAAAGCAAGTTTCATGAAGCTGGCACAATCTTGTGGCTCAAAACAGCAAGGGAGATATTTATGAAAATAACCTTAATGAAGTTGATTGAAGCAATTATTGGTAAGCTTATGCAATTGCACTTTTAGTCAACAAGGAAAAGACAGGTACTTCAATGATGAGTTTGTCACAACAGCCTCAATTAACTAACTGAAATTTGAAACAATTAACAACAAGCTCATACAATTCGCATTATCACTGAACAAGCCGAAAAATTAGGCAGTCAAGGTCCTGTTTGGATAAGAAAACTGGTTCAATTTTCAAAAAAAATGAAACAGCACTAAAACGACAAAAAGAAGAAGTCGTTATCAAAGCTGTTATTGTGAATGAAACACAGTTTCCTATTAAATAAAAAATGCTTCTTTACTTTGGAAACAAGACAACCAAACGGGCTTTCAAAATCTAGTTTTCACCAACAAAACGCGGAATTCAAAAAAATAGAATAATCAAAAGGTTTTCCCAAATCCCATGGGCCCCAGATATTGCAAAGAGAGGGTCTGTTTGCAGGTGGCGATTTTCGGTTCTGTTTTCGCATGCATCAGTAAAGAAGTGGACATCCGTGTATATAACAATAAGAGGTTGATGAAGTCTAGAAGAGCTTGTTGAAGTATTGTCCCACATCGCTTAACAACGGATCTTATATGCTCTTTATATTCATGTGGTCTACCTACACCTATTAGCTTAAGCTTTTGGGATGGACTTTCTAACATGCTTTCAAAGCTAGTGCTATCCCTTTCACAAATGTGCGTGGTCAAAATTCCATGTGAATGTGCATATTCAAAATTCCACGTGCCACTATTGCTTGACAACAGGATCTCCCTCCACCTATTAGCTTAAGCTTTTGGGATGATCTTTCTAACAGAGCTTATGGACACAATAAAAGACGTCTTCGTGGTGCAGTTTCATTAATTATTACATTATAAACTAACTAAAATAAAAAAGATTAATAACAATCAATAAGAGGATTGTAACAGAAAATTAAGATAATCGTATATTTCTTAAAATGCATCACAAGCATTCGTCTTCAACCAAAAAAAAATGATAAGCATTTGTCTTCTCACTAAATCCATTCGTCTTCTCACTAAATCCATTCGTCAGATTGCCCTAGAAATGATGAGAACTGTTAGTCCATTCTCCTCAATAACAAGTTAAGTGATATGGAAGAGCATCAACCATGTTTGCATGATGTACTTGAGGATTTCTGCAGACTGTCAATTGATCAAGCTCATTTTTATCCTATCCTTTTATTTAAGAGTAACAACTATACAATCCATGATGGAATATCTCCTACACTAAGAGGTCTCTAAGGATTGTCCGTGTTTTAAAATACTATGGGTAGCGCTGAAAAGAACAGTGAAGACATTAGTGGATTTCATGATTCCAAGCTCATATTAGAGAATTATCATACATGCCCTCTTTCTTCTCCTACTAGATGGCTGTACAAAAAGGGCAAAATATTTGTAGCGAGATGATCTTTTGTCAAATTTAAAGAGAAGTTTATGATGATCTAATTTCAGTTTTCCTGATATTAGATGAGTTACATATTCTTTAGAAAAATCATGATTTGTTTTTGTGCTAACTAAGTGCTTCTCTATCTACTTTACAGTTTTTCCTAACAGGTCTGAGGTGATCTCCCACTTCTGCATGTCAAGCCACCCCAGGAATTTTCGTAAAAATCTCTCTCTAATCTTCCTATACACTGATCAAGAACTTCTCCCTGCATATATCTACACATATGTAAGATTATTGCCAATAGACTAACACATTACTTCATTTGTATTTAGGTGAGCTTATGCAGGTTGATGTTTTCCGGGAAAATAGAAATAAGAGATTTTAATTCAACGAATGAGGTTTTCCATGTCACGTATTTTATCTTCTGTGACAGGAGTTGTGGACTATATCAGATTTCTTAAGATAAGTTCGAAATTCTAATGCCAAATTACAAAGTTACAGTATTATGACGGCTTCCATTGGTCCCAAAAGGAATAGCTTTCACTGAACCATTTCTATTCAGATTTTTAATCACACATTTCCCTTTGTAGCACATAGAAAAGGCAGAAATGAACTTGCTCATGCACTCTGCGGTGAGCAGCTGATGATCAAGGCTTCTTTAAGGTTTCACCGTTCCTGTAGACATAGGCCGATATCCTTAATAAGGAGGCTGAATGGCACTAAGTTTTCTGCTTTCAGCTAAGATAGACTTAATAGGTGTTTCATTATAAGGTTTGATTTTAGATTCATTTATCACCTATATGAACATGCAACTGAAATATTCACGCACATATTCTTGTTTTATAGATAAACTGAAAATTGTCAGGACAGGTCATTATGCTCGTGTATACGAGTTCAAGATCATAAACTTTTTGGAGCGCCCCACACATAGAACAGGCTTTCTACTAGTGCTATACGAAAGTTAAACCTTTAATTTAATGTTGATTTAGCATTACAGACACCAGTAGCTAGCAACGTGACAGTTAGAATAAAGAGAAATAAAGTTACTTCAAATGAAAAGCTGAAAGATATCTTTTGTAAGCATTTGCTATGCTACCTGCTTCGATAAGAGCATTTAGTAGACCAAAGATTAGCACTGCTGACAACTTGGGATTTCCCATAGCAGTACCATTCTCCACAGATTCAAGTACTTGGAATGCTTCATCAATTCTTCGAGCATCACCTAAGCCCTTTTGAGGTAAAGAAGATACAATCATGACTACCTAATATAAATACAATGCCAAACTCATGCGAAGAGAAACTCTTCCAGCCAAAGCTGCAGACTTGGCAAACATGTAGCCAACTTGATGAGGGCATTAAGATAAGCTTCTATAGATGACAGACTGTATAGAAGTGTCCGTGTCTCATGAAGCTGTAGTGCATAGGCAATATAGAACTTTAGTTACTACTACAAAGTTCTCACAACATGGATGAAGATATCTCTGTCTACCAGAAGAAGGTTTTTATATTATGCCACCAGTAACGTTTATTTCTAATATGACTCAACTGATATTTTCTAGACCCAAGAAAGAGTAAGTGTACATATCTGCATAAGATGATCTTGTAGATTCCCATCTAATAGGGAATCAAGCATCAGGCAGCATTAATGAAAAATTATGGGTGGGAACTAGTATGATCATAGGTGGACTGAGGGGGTGGCAGAAGGTGGCAGTCCCCCCAATAGCCTGACCATCCTTTGAGCCTAAACCAGAACAGCAGATTCTGGGATTTTTTGCCCTATCAAGTCATGAGTTTCCTCGACCAAGGAAATAACATATACTTGACTAATGAAGTGTTCTGTTATTTGTCTTTCATCCTTGACATCTTGGCAGGGGGAAGGGAATTATTAGTGTGACAAAGAAAACTAAATTTGTTGCTTATTCTAACATTAAGCGAAGAACAATTCCAGCCAAAAATTAATAAGAAACCTTTTTAGATCGTACCAATATTCCTGTTCGCTCTTTCCAGTAATCTTTCCTATTCAGATCCAACCACTAGAATTTCTCTGAGTGAGAAGAATTCTGCTTCAACCCATTAAATTGCGATGACAAACATATTACAACTAAGGTGGCACATGACCAAGGTCACGATCCATGCACAGACCAAGGACAATCCATGCACGAACGGACTTAACCTTTCATACCAGGCTCTATTTGTGAGCTTCTACTCTAGGTTGTTAACTAACTTTCTGGTTTAAGTGCATCCAAGCTATTGAAATTGGGGTTACTTCATTGGTTTTTCCAAGTATTTTGGTTAGTTTAAGCTTTGTACTAGATCATTATTAGCAATTCAAGTAATTCTTTTGATAATAACCTTTTGAAGGGCTCCATCAATAATGATAGCTTGAAACATAAGGAGGAAAGCCAGCTACCCTTTTACTTGACTTTCATTGAAGTATCCAAAATCATCTTTGCCTACTAATCTTAGATATTTTATAGCTTTTGGGTTCAAAATGGAAGGCAGCCCCCATGGTGCTCCTTAATATACTGTCTTTATATTTGAAAAAATTATTTAAAACATGGCCATGGGCAAGTGGAAAAAGATTTTTGCTGCTCCAGCAATAATCACTCCATTGCTTCAATTTGCAAATTAAAGGAGACTATTTGCACCCATAAAAACCCAGTTTTTAATCTGAAAATCACAGACATCACTATTCAACTTTTGTTTTGTCAAGACAGTCAATATTTAAACTCATAGGAGTGCATTCCACCATGTCACCGATGAAAATATATACATGTTCACAATGACATGCCATACCTTCAGAAGTGTGCCATATGTCACACTATCTACACCACAACTCTCAGGCTTTAACATTTCCTCAAAGATCTTAAGCGCCGCATCGACATCCCCACAGTGAACACATGCTTCCATCACCGCATTCATCACTATAGTGTTGAGCTTCCCATATCTTCTCTCGGCAATTTCAATTTCCTCAAAAATCTGAACCAAAAGGAGGTCGAAAACTAAGGCATGTGCAAAATCATTCATGGTAGAATACAGAAGAACAACTAACAGAACATTTTAAATATTCTTGTCACATAAGACATTATACCCCGAACCTGGCAAATTAACACTCAGTATGCTTCAATGTTGAGCCATGTGAGACCTTTGCCAACCAAACTTAAAAGCTCAAACCACAAACGGCGACACAGCTTATCATTCAAACACCACAAACACTCTCCCTCGCCCGCAAGCCGGCAACTTTGCCAGAGCCCAACGCGCAGAAATTCACTCTAAATTGGGAAAGCGAACCAAGAGATTGGAAAAATCGCTTGTCATGGCACAGGCACAGCTTCCACATCCACATCAGTATCTAAAGTTTGACTATTCGACCTCCATTCCCCTTCAATTTCTCAGCGACCAAACTACGTAAGCCCAATCCGGACTCCCCAACCAAAAGACAAAAGCGATGCTCGTGAGCCCAAGCCCCAGCTTTTCCAAGCCAAATAGGCCGAACGAAGCACGGAAATCGAGGCCGAAACAAAGCACGGCAACCCCGCGAGCCGAATCGCGACCGAGAGACCGTACGAAGGAAGCGGCCGCGACCTGACGGAGCTGCCGTCGGCGGGTGAGCTGGACGATGCGGGAGGTGAGAGGCTTGAGATTGGGCCTCCCGGTCCTTCGCCGTCGGAGGAACGACTGCCGTCGGAGCGGAGTAGAGGAAGAAGAGAAGGCGCGTTCATGGAGAGAGAGCGGCGATGGTCTCGGTGATACTGAGGTCGGCGGCGGAGGCGGAAACGTCTGGAACCGAAGCATCGCCGGCGATGGTGGTGGTGGTGGCGGCGGCGACGGCGGCGAAGGAAGCTATCCATACGCCATGCTCAGATAGAGAGAGAGACAGAGAAGGAATGGATAATGTGTTCAGTGCTCGGCAGTGAAATTGTTGGCGGGCAAAAGCTTTTCATCTTTTTTCCACCGATGAAAGAAAAATAAAATAAACATAACTTTAACGAGGCGATGACAAAATCGGCACTTTGAATTTTGAATTTTGGCCCAATTTATGATATGATTCCTAAATTTTTAATTTATTCGATACAGTTTCTAAAATTTAGCCCAAGGTATAACGTGGTTCTTGAATTTTTAATTTGTTTAATGATTTCTTTGAGCTTTTAATATATATTTAATTTAGTCCATAAACTATATGAAAATGTCTAATGATTTTCTTCCATTAATGTAAAATTGAATATTTTCATATAGTTTAGGAACTAAATTGAACATAAACCAACAAGTACAATGTCCACATTGCCCATTGGGCTAAAGTCTAAGAACCGCATTGAACAAATTAAAAGTTAAGGCCAAATTGCATATTGGGCCAAAGTTTAAGGATTATTTGTGTTATTTTCCCCATTCTAATGTGCTTGTGTTTAGGGGTGTCAAAAATACTGGAACCGACCCAAACCAAACCGAAATTTTCAGGTCAGGATTTTTTCGGTTCAGATAATAGATTTAAAAACAAGTATATAAACAGTTTCGATTCGAGTGGGGTATTCGAAAACACTTGAAAACCATCCATCTGTCTTCCTCCTAGAAAATGCCCTCCAAGAAAGTCCCCTTCACAGTTATGTTTTACACCCCGACCCCAACCATGTTTTTGGTTCGGGTACATATACGGTTCGGGATGCAATTTGGGTCGCAAACACACATGTACCAAATATGTTCGGGTATCATGGAAACCCGAACCGTTAACACCCCTAGCTGTTTATATTGTTGAAGTGGCTAGCCAATTATAATAGGGAATAGTGTCGCAAAAAATACTGAATTCATACGTCGTGACACATCTACCATACTAATTTTTGTATGAAAAAAATCTCAAATCAGTGCACTTGTCACAACGAGTCAACGATGTCTTTAAAGAGCCAGTTTATACCGAATTTCCACGTCGGATGAGTAAAATCATGCATCTTTCACGGGCGCGACCAATTTAGGGTTTTTTGTAATACGGAAATTTGTATAAGGTAAATGTGTCCCGAATGTATCAATTTGAGATTTTTTTTGTGATAATGTGCCAAATCCACCAATTTTACATTAACGTTTTAATATTTTGGCTTTTGATTTATTTTCTGTTCCACGTGTTTTCTCTTACGAAGTTCCTTTTCTAGCTTAAACTTCGCTTGAAGGCCAAAATGACCAGAAAACGAGGGTCACAAAAAGGAAAGAAAGAAATGACTCAAATGAGTGGTGTGCGTGAGGCTGGGCCGGGCCCACACGAATTGGGTTATTTGTTCCGACTCTGGCCTGGCCCAATAGAATTTTAGCTTTCACGGACAGCAGTAATGATGCCCGTGAACCGCATGACACTTGGCAGCCACTAGAAAGATCGTCAAGGATGCTATGGGACCCGCCGTCCTCGATAATTGTGGCGGGCCCGATCCCCGATCGCGATTGGCCCGGTCCGGCGGGTCTGCGACGACCCCGACAAACCGGTGTGACGGCCACAGATCAAGGACGAGGTCGGAGCGTTTTGTCGTTAAGCGCGATGGAGTTGGAGGATATGATCAGTTAGAGAAGTCCTTCGATCGAGAAAAGGTGAGGTTCGAGGCTCGAGGTTGACTTGAAATTAGAGAATATGCTCAAGTACGGATTTTTCTGCACTTAAATGACCCATTATCTTTAACGATTACGATTAAATCGATTTGGAGCGACCCTATGAACGAATCACGAGAGAGCAAAAGATCAAGGATAGAGTTGGAGCATTTCGTTGTCAATGACGATGGAGTAAAAGATTCGAGTTAGAAGTTTTTCAATCTCGAGCTCAAACTCATAATTTTTGTTGGACTCCCATTAGTATAAATTAAATTTCAATGTGAATCTTGAGCCTTCCTCGTGCTTTCTTTTCATAATATATACTTACTTTCATGGACGCTTTACGAGTATGTGCAGTTAGCTTATGTTCCTCATGCAACATTATAAGCTAAACATAATCTTAATTAAATGGAGAAATTTAAAAAAAAAAACTCACATTATTTTCTTCCTTTGCTACCATACAAATTCTTTGCTAAAAATGAATAATTAGACGGACATTTTGATATATTTTTCAATAGTCGAGAATAAACACATATGTACAATTCAAAAAATAAAAGAAAACGAGAAAAACATTCTAAATTTCTCGTGTAGTGGATGGATGAAGTTAATTGCACTATAAAGACAATTAAATTTCTCTTTAGCCTTATGAAAAGTGTGACACATTGTCCTGTACGTTAATCAATGACACGTAACCTAAACTTTTCTTTTTCATTTTTCTTCCTTGATTGCAATCTCACTCCTCTCTTCTACGTACATGCGTGTACGGTGCTCACGGAAATCAAACCCCGGACCTTGTATTCTCCGACCCTACATCCCAATCCCTTTACCAATAAAGCCGCATGCTTGTTGGCCATTTTTCTTCTATTTACTATAGAGTATCAATTTTTGGGTACATCTTACTTCCCATCTTGCTTCCCGTAGAAAAATTAACTTCTCCCATTAATAGTACATTGAAAATTAAAGGTGCCGTCAATTTTTAGTTTTTCACAATTTTGCGAATATAGTCATAAGTGCTTCGTCAAACTTGCTAATGAAGAATAAGAGAATATATTGCCTAGATCCGAGCTCATCGACATAACCAACTGACGACATATCGCTCAATCACCGGCCTAACACCCGTCAACCTAACCAATTGCAGATCACAGGCGTGAGATTTCCTTGCAGGTCGACTTCAATGAATTCCAATACTAGACTTCCCAAGTTTGAGGAATTTTGAAAGTCTATCAATCAGTATTTTTACGCACAAAATCGATACATCATGAGGATCGACCTCTAAAACTGAATCAATTCTACCAAATCAACCTCCAAATTTTTATTTTTTTTTCAGTAAGGCCTTTGGCCTATCACATTACCGTGAGGATCGTAGTTACAAGTTATGAACGTGTCCCCGTTCACGCAAATGACTCTAGCACACCCAACTCGGAGACTCTGCCTCCACACCACTTGCGTGTAATGCGTGCAATCTCGGTTCGGCGCACATGTGTTGGTGCCGTAGTCGTAGTAGGGTCCCTCGGCAGCCCACGCGGCATCGGCATCCCACGGCCTCCACGCATGGCCACCTCCCCAGAAGAGGTTCTCTCCACAGTTGATGCTCGAGTGGACAAGGGCACAGTCTCCTCGCCGCTGGTGGGCCCACCAGGAGGCATAGCTCGCGAGGGCCTCGCTCCACTGGAGGGACGGGAGGCCGAGCTTCGACCTCACGGCGTTGTGCGGCTCCAGGTATTGCTGGATTACGATGCTAGAAGTGGCCAGGAGACGTCTAGACGGCACCGAGAGTGTGAGGGATGGGAAGGAAGAGAGGAGGAGGAAGGCTCCTAATAGGCCACATGAAAACAATGCCATGCTAGAAGGAGAAAGAGAGAAGGGTTCGATCAAGATTGATGTTAAACACTAATTAAAGCTAATGATATTTATATGGGTACGGTGGGGAATCATTTCACATGCTAGGGTTTGAATGCGAAGGATGTATCAGAGGCGGAAACCACGTTAAGTAATGGGAAGAGTGTGGGATTGTGGTTGACTTGCAACTTGGGAAACGGGGTTATCAATGATTGTCACCTTATGATTAACGAACTTACCGGTCATTATCTTATCATATATCCCAAGGATTTTCGCATATAATAAGGTTCCGGATCGGTTTGGACGCCGCCACCGCGATCGACAGTTGCGATACTCGAGCAGCAAAACTGGGAAGTACTGTTCCTTTTGGCAGTCTTGACACATGGGGTTATAAGTCAAACGGAAATCAAAGATGGCGGGCACGTTGATAAGATCAGTTCATGATAGAATACAAGTAACTTGTGTTGCACATGAGTCCATGTGGGTGTGGCCAGAAATCCACTATGGACATGTCTTACGCGACAATGGCGACTATGGGTCACGTGCGCTTGATGCGGCAAGTGGGAAAGATCTGTCTTTTTTTTTTAATCTCCTCTCTTTCCTGAACTGAAGAAGTCTTCTGCCGCTCTACCGAAGAAGAGAAGACGCTAACCGTTGAGCTTTGCCCGCTGAAAGTACAGAAGGCGGCACCCGCCGCGATGACTGAGAAAGCGATAGGGAGAAGGAGAAGGATTTGTTCAATCTCTCTTTCGTGTTGTAAAAGCGTTTTCACGCTGACATTGCATAGGACACACTACGACCCTCCTCATGCTCTTCTAGGGGCTGGTTTATGGACTGCATTGCCCACTCGGCTTATCTGCGGATTTTCCGGCGTACCCTATGAACATATAAGAGAGATGACGGGCTAGTCAAAGAGAATCCGAAGCTCTGTTTCGGCAATTGGCTTGTTAAAGGAGAACAACCATGTAAGATATGAATCATATCGAAAGGTGAAATATAGTTTTCTTTGGAGGTGAGAATCACGGTCATGAAGACTCGAGGGCCATTTGAGGCACAAGAGGTAACCAGATAAGGTCTCAAAATAAAAATTGGTAACAAGAAACTAGCCCTCGCAAATATCTCGCGCAGAGGCGCAAAATCGAACTTTACACTAAGTTCAGCCAAACCTCATGTGCGCGATCCTGACAAATTTTTCTTGTTGTAATCAGGATAGATAAAAATAAACCCATTAATAAAATTAATGTGAGAGAGCTTTCGAAGCAATGTAGGATAAGTGAATGCAAGGAAAATAAGCTATTGAAATACTTTACACAACGTTTCCCCACATATTTCAAAAAATTGATTAATGAAAAGAAGAGATAAAAGCTGGTTTCACACTAAAGGCTAATGCATCGAATCTAATATATTTTGGATTATGAACCAGGCCCAGAAAAATGAAAAACAACATATAGGACCATCGCAAAGCTTATAGCTTCTATAAACAAAGGATGATTTATTGTAAACTAGGGTTCTCACAAACCACGTTACACCCCTTCCCCCAAACAATTTATGTCGCTCAACATGGGTTTGCGTTGATAGGCGATGCGTACCCCTGATTATTGAGAGTGGCCCCACTCCACACTTATAGGTGATGCCATCAAGTATACACTGCAAATAAAAACACCACCCATAAGGGATGTGTCCATTCATTAGGAGCTTAACTCATCATCGTATGATATGCATTTCAACACCGATCACACACCACGGGAGGGACTTAAAATAAATTGGTTCGACAGTATCAAGAGGTGACTTGTTTTTTTTTTATAACCGAGGTATCTCACGTGCAATGGACTATTCCTCGGGGTGGTGGGGTACAAGACCAATGCCAACGGGTAAGCCCCCAAGATGTGATCGGTGGGAGTTGAACCTGGGACCTCATTAGTTTTACTGTCTGAGGTCAGGAACTCTCAACCACTCGACCAATCACCCCATTGGTAAGAGGTGACTTGTTGGTACCCATAAGAACCTACTTCATGAGATCTCCATTCACAGGTTGTGTTACCACTTTTGTTGATATTTCAAAATTTGCATAAGTCACATTTCGATGTTTCAACTATTTGTTTCCTTTCAAAGGTTTAATCAGTCTGCCAAAATTCATTTCTAAGTTCACATAATTGATCCATACAACTCCACGTTTCAATAACAGTTTTAGGATAAAATGAATGCGTGTTGTCTTGCTATCATAAGCTCTATTAGCAACGAGTCTTGCAGCTTTGCAATCAAACTGCAGAGACATAAACGGCTTTGGTTTCACACCCATCGACTATCCCACCAAGAAATGATTCCCAACTCAAGAGCAATAAACTCTTGGTCTAATAGGGGGAAAATTACCAAAAAAGTCCTAAAACCTTTTTTTTTTACCATTTCAGTCCTAAACCTTTTATAATTGTGCCAATTCAGTCCATCCGGCCACTTTTGGCCGGCGCGGCTGACGTGGCATTATTTTAATAGTTTTTTTCCTTTTTTTTTTCCCTTCTTCCCCCTGGCCGGACCGACCAGGGTGAGGCTCGTCGGCGAGGTGACCTTGCCGGCCATGGGCGAGGTCGACCTCGCCCGGCCATGGCGAGGTCGAGCTCGCCAGCCATGGGCGACGGCGAGGCCTCGCCAGACCTCGCCCGGCGATGGCGAGGTCTCACCAGATCTGGGCGAGCTCGACCTCGCCCATGGCCAGCGAGCTCGACCTCGCCATGGCCGGGCGAGGTCAAGCTCGCCCGGTGACGGCAAGGTCTCGCCAGATTTGGGCGAGGCCTCGCCGTCGCTGGGCGAGGTCAAGCTCGCTGGCCATGGGCGACGGCAAGGCCTCGCTAGATCTGGCGAGACCTCGCCGTCGCCGGGCGAGCTTGACCTCACCCAGCGACGGCAAGGTCTTGCCAGATCTGGGCGAGGCCTCGCCGTTGCCCATGGCCGGCGAGCTTGACCTCGCCATGACGGGGCGAGGTCAACCTCCACTACAAAAAAACACGAAATTTGCGACGAAGGTTTTTCCGTCGCAAATTTGCGACGGTTTATTTCCATCGCAAATTTGCGACGGAATTTGCGACGGTTTTATTTTCCGTCGGAAATTTGCGACGGAAAATGTAATCCGTCGCAAATTCCGTCGCAAATTTGCGACGGAAAAACGTTCGTCGCAAATTTCCGACGGAAAATAAAACCGTCGCAAAATCCGTCGCAAATTTGCGACGGCATTGTAAGTCCGTCGCAAATTTGCAACGAAAACAACGTCCGTCGCAAATTCGTAGTTTATCAGCCCGTGATATTCCAACCCTATCTCTCTCTCTCGCTCTCTCTCGTTTTTCTCCCTCTTTCATATGTCTGAAATCAGCAAAATCCGCGCACGCACATATTAATCTTGGTGAAGCTTTTGTACCGGTAAGTGTCATAGCTAGCTTCGTGACTATTCGTCGTTGCATTGTAATTTCTTTTTTTTTAATATATGTTTATGTTTGTTTTTTTTTTTTGTATATGCATCACCGGTTTAACGACCGGCGACCGGCGACACCTCGCCGGCCTTTGGATGAGGCCGAACGGCCACGCCGTTTTGCGACGGAAATAGTTTCCGTCGCAAATTTGCGATGAGTAAATGAAAATTCTGTTGCAAATTTGCGACGGATACTATGTGCTGTCGCAAATTTGCGACGGATACCTGATTCCGTCGCAAATTTGCGACGAATAAATGGAAATTCCGTCGCAAAATATGCGACGGAGTGAAGTATCCGTCGCAAATTTGCGACGGAACATAGTATCCGTCACAAAATTGCGACGGATACTATGTTCCGTGCGACGGAACATAGTATCGGTCACAAAATTGCGACGGCACATAGTATCCGTCGCAAATTTGCGACGGCACATAGTATCCATCGCAAATTTGCGACGGATACCTGATTCCGTCGCAAATTTCCAACGAATAAATGAAAATTCCGTCGCAAAATTTACGACGGATACTATTTTCCGTCACAAATTTGCGACGGATACATTCCGTTTCCATCGCACATTAAAAATTATTAAAAAATGATTCTTAAGTGATTATTCTTTTTTGGGTATGTGCCTAATTGAAGGTCTCGCAATCCAAGTGGACGTTGCAATTCTCATCAAATTGATCACTTTCACCTACAAATATTTCAGTCAAATATTTGGGTAAGTCTTCTTTACATTGTAATTTTTTCTATTTTTGCAATTTCATATTAATTGTTGCGTGAATAACAAAAATTATAATTTCCAAAATTTTATGGTTTTAATTAAGAACAATAGATATGATATTTTAAATATTTTACCAGAATTTTTTATTTTAATACAGACACAATGCACAGAGAAAGGGTTTGGATGTATAATAAGAACTTACCTAGACGTCAAGGATTGACAGATGAGTTTCGTACTGGGTTGGAACTATTTTTAGACTTTGCTAGTAGTAAATATGAGTTTATGGATGGAAATAAGTTAAGGTGTCCGTGTAAAAAGTACGGTAATGGTAAATTTCTTGTGTGTGATCAAGTTAGAGAACACCTTATTAGATTTGGGTTTACTCCGAACTATTATAATTGGACTTCCCATGGTAAACCATTTATATCTGATGAAGGATATGGAAGAAGTGACTAATTTTTAGTTAGGGAAGAATGTGGCTATTATGAGCAATTGAACCCATACGAGAGGATGGTGATTGATGCAGCTAGTTATAATTTTGTCAAAGAATCAAATCATGCAAGTACTAGTTTTACTCCTACACGTGAACAAGTGGGTACTAGTCATGCTTCACAATTGGAAGATATAGGAGTAACGGGTTTTGAGGAGAATGTGTATAATGAAACTTTTCAATCTAATCAGTTCTAGGATGTCTTGAAAGCAGCAGATGAACCTTTATGGGCAGGTTGTGAGGACCACACTCAGTTATCGGTGATAGCCCAACTATTAAATATCAAGGCAGAGCATAATGTGTCTGCGGATTGCTTCAACTCTTTTGTTGAAGTAATGTGGGAATCATTGCCTCGTGATAACA